TTGATTGCATTTTTATTTATAATATTTACTACAGCATCGGTTAATTTATGTACAAACGATTCATATAAATTGTTATATAAATATTACATTAAATTTATTTGAATTTCAATAACAAAAAAACTAATAATAATAATTTAAATATACAACTAATTAATTAATTAATTTTATTTTATTTAAATTTTTTTATTTGGTTTTATTTTTAGTTTTATTAAATTTAAGTTGTGAAATAAAGTTTAAATATATGATTTAATAATCAAAAAATGATTTAAACTTAATGTAATTATTTAAAAACTAATTAATCATATTAATAATAATAAAAAAATCAATGCAATTATTATTAATGATTACTAATTTGTTTTTTAATATATAGATATATAAATATAATTAAGTAATATTAAAAAACATATAATAATTATAAGATTGACATAATTTGAGACTTTATAGTAATAACTAAAAATATATATTTAAAAAAAAATTATCATAGAGATAGCCTAAAAATTTATTTTTTAAAAATAAAATACATAAAAATTAATAAACTGAATGTTTAGATAAGTTTTTTTTAATTAACTTAATTTTACAATTTAACAAACAAAATGACTGAATTTTCAGCAAATAAATTATTGCCTCCGAATATGGTATACAAGTGGTCGGCCTATCATTTATACCGAATCGGCTTAAGTAACCATCGATTAGTAGCCGCCGATGATTGTTGTGATGGTTATCCTCAACAACAACAACAACAACAACTACCTAAGAGACTATGGTTTAATCGACCGATTTGTATAATTATTGTAAATATGATTTATATTTTTGGACACATAATATGTTTATTTATAGACAATACTAATAATAATAATAAACTACTATTTGCACTGTTATTCAATTGGGAACTAATTATGGGTCTTAGCTATCAATTAAGTCTATGTTTTCCGTTAGTCCTATGGTTGGTATTACTATCAGTGCTAACATATGTCTACAATTATATATCGGGTATTGAACCACGATTTTTACGCGTATTTCAAATGATGTCCGGCTATAGGTGGACACCCCAGTCGGTCGGTCTAACCGATCCCAAGGAGATCCAGAAACTAGTCAAAAGGATGCGCTGGTTATCCCTGTTGTGTCAGTTTAATAGTTTATATATAATACCATTATCAGGACCAGTGGTAGTCATAATAATATTTTTTAGGAATTTTCCCATAAATTTTCTAACTATATTACTGGCAATTTGTAATTCAATATTTCAATGGTTTATTGTCTATTATTTCTGGAATATACTACCGTTTCAGTTGACTTTTACATACTGTGCCTGTATTTAAAGCTCCGATACCTTAAAATCTATCGTCAATTACGACAACTAACTAACTAACTAACTACTACTACTACTACTACTATACAAGGTTAACTATTATACAAATAAAACCTATAATTTGTTATATACTTATTGTTTGAATATTAAATAATAATTATTTTTGTAATATTTATTTTTTTTTAAATAAATAGTTTTTTGTTTATAAATTTTTTCTATATATACAAGTGGTCGGCCTATCATTTATACCGAATCGGCTTAAGTAACCATCGATTAGTAGCCGCCGATGATTATTGTCCTCAACTAAAGAGACTATGGTTTAATCGACCCGTAATTATAATTACGGTTTCAATAATTTTTATTATTCAACGCCTAATCAGTTTGTTTATCGACGATTATCATCCAAACAATTGGCAATTGTATGCACTGTTAGGTAATTGGGCCTATTTTTTTTGGTATCAATTTATTTTATGATTTAAGTACTATAATGTTGGCATCAATTTTACTATTATCACTAGTGTATTGATTAATAATTTTTTATACTCTATGAAATAGTTGTTATAATAGTTGCTAAAAACAGTCAAATAGTTGTTAAAATAGTTATTTAAACTGTATTAAATAGTTGTATATAGTTGTCAAAAAAGCCAAATAATTATTGAAATAGTTATTTATTTTCTTATAAATATTTCAACTGATATATCATTCACTTGTTTTCAGTATATTTACAAAAATGATTTATATAAATAAACTAATTATTTCTATTGTTAAAAAAGTAATATGAGTTGATAACAGTTTACACATTTTATATAATTTATATAACTATTACTTTTTGTTTTTACATATATTTGTGCTTAATTTTACAATTTAATGCTTATATTTTTCAAAATCATTGAAATAGTTATTTATAAGTTTTTATAGTTGCTAACCCAACAAATAGTTATTTATAGTTATAATAAAATTTCGGAAATAGCGTCCACTGGTCAAGTTCAGTGGACATATTAAGTCCCAGTTATAAGCGTTGAACCGACAAAATAATTTTTTTAGTTGGAAATCAAGACACTAATTATCACAGTTAACTTATTCATACAACTATATCCAGGGTATTGAACCCAAATTTATGGCTGTATTACAAATGATGTCCGGTTTGCGGACACCCCAATCGGTTGGTCTAACCGATCACCGGGACATCCAGAAGCTAACTAAATGGATGCGCTGGTTATCCATAGTTTGTCAATATAATAGTAATTATATAATAACTTTATTGTGTGGTTTAGTTATATATTTAATTTATTTGATATATTTACCCTGGTATTATGCACTGGTATATGGTATACCTGATACCCTATTTGTTACCCTGGCTATTTATTATCTATGGAATTGTCTAACATTTCAATTGGTCTATTTTATATACTATGCTTGTATATCAAATTAAAAACTAATAAAATTGATCAACAATTACACCAATTATTGACTATTGATAATAAATATCCGATAAATACTACAAATACTATAAAACCTATTCAACATATTATGAAA